GGGTGTACACAATGGTTCGCCACGTGAGTGAGCGCTGCGCGGAGCTGAGCGCGCGGGTGCGCGTGTGTACACAGTGGTTCGCCAAGTGAGTGAGCGCTGCGCGGAGCTGAGCGCGTGGGTGAGCGTGTGTACACAGTGGTTCGCCAGTTGAGTGAGTGCCGCGGGGAGCTGTGTACGTTAGGGCAGCGTCATTCGCCCTCCGACCCCTGACCCCGTTAAATAGCGCGTGATCCGTGGAGAGACAACGCAGCGTTTGCAGGTGAACGAGAGCGGGCGGCGAGCTATGCCTCTCACACGAGCTCGCGGAGGGACGGACCAGGGAGGGGAGCCGTCGGGCGATGAGCCCAGCGACGGCAGCAGCTACTCGCAGAGCAGCGAGGGGTCGGCGCACGGCGGAGCCCCTGCCATACGCCCGGAGCACGGAGGGACTTCGGGGGCCAGCGACCCCGACAACGTGCACAAAGAAAACAAACTAACCGGAAACAAGTGAACATAAAACAGTAAATAAGTAACAAAAGTCAATATCCAATAAATAAGTAACACATAACTGGTAGATAAGTAATTAAGCATACTGTTTGGCTTACCAGCATTCGACCTCATCATATTACATCTACTGGACCAGTAGTTACCCCTGTACAGTTTCAGCACTGGTAGATTGCGCACTGCGCAGACAATAGCGGCACTACGGTAACGCCATTGCCTCCTGGCAACAAAGCCATTGGAAGTTTGAAACAAAGTTCATGGTCGCGACTGTATAATGCTCAGCCAATAGTAGCGGCCTAAGAGACTCAGCAATTGATTCCGCGTCTGGTAGACGCTTGTTAAGGCCCTTCCCATTGTGCAATCCATAGCCTCAGCTGAAACTTTCGCACCCCCCACAGCCACTGAAAGTATTACGGTAAAAAAGTGCGCTCACTTCAAACATTGTCGTTTCATTGTACAAACAAGTCGAATAATATAAAACGTGATAACATGTGCAATTTTAGTGTGAGTGGTTTATTCCGCAGTGCTTTAGTCAAATGTAAGTGTTGCATAGTGGATAGTCCTACCATGAAAAAAATTAACGTGTAAAATATTTTTGGGATAGCCCACACCTCCATATACCCCGCAGGGTCTTGTTTTGTTTGTACAAAGTGGTATACCCCGCGAGTTATATGCGGGAAAATACGGCAATGATGGGCAGTTGGCCCTAGGCAATCCCTAGGGGGGAGCATCGGGACCAACGGTTGGGACCCCAGGCCCACGGAAGGGGGCTGGGGGATGAGGTCATTTTCCAGGGCCTTCGAGAAGGTTCTGGAAGGGAGGCGTGGAGTGAGCCGGGACCCTGTATATAAGCCAGGACCCTGAACGGCTCGAGGCTGAAGACTGAAGACCGACCTGGAGCCCTGAAGGGAGAAGAGCCTTGTGGGCAAAGCCGAACCCCTGTCTAGGGTGAGGCTGGAGCTGTACCAGTGAAGCTCCGAGCTTATAACCAGGGAAGACTCAAGAGAAGGCTCAAGCCCCGGCAGTGTCGGCGCGGCGACAGCCAGAAGAGGCGAGCTAGCCGGCTACGTAGAGCATCGGGTGAAAGGGGCCATTACCCCTTTGTATTGTAGCTTGTTGAGTTGTTGAATGTTATAATAAACGTGTGGCCTCTAAGTGAAAGTTCCCTCCAGTTTATCACCCACTACATATAGAAGCGTTCTAGACACATCCCATCAGCCCAACGGCCTGATGGGATGTCTTGTGACCCCCTGATTAATTAATCCCTGACATTGTTGTACCTTTGGGTATTACTTTCTGTTTTAAATTAACCTTACTTTAAACAAATATTAACTTTTAGAGAATTCAATGGTGGGTAACAATACCTCTGGACCACCCTGTACAGTAAATAATGTCAGCAGTATTGCTTCGGCACAAGCAAAACTCTGGGACCGGTTTCGACATTCAGTATATCATCATCATCATCAGAGTCAGGCTCGCTTCAACTGATGCTGGTGAACGGCCCAGACGTTCATAGGCAAGGGGTCAGAGTTTGACACAAACACGCATAATACACAACACAACACTGCATAATACACAACACTGAATAATACACAACACAAAACCGCATAGTACACAACACAACATAATACACAACACCACATAATACAAAACACAAAACCACATAATATACAACACAGCACTGCATAATACACAACACCGCATAATACACAGCACAACACTGCATAATACACAACACAATACCGCATAATACACAACACAAAACCGCATAATATACAAAACACCGCATAATACACAGCACAAAACCACATAATACACAACACAAACAATCATTAGGCGTTGTTGCAGGCAAAATAAAAAGCAATTTATAACCGGAGATAAGCAGACAAAATGTCAATTCACATTATCTGTCTCTCGGCATCAACAGAAGTTCAACATACAATCTACCCTACTACAACGCCGCGTGTTGTTTTCATAACGAGAATATGAAAGAACGCGATGAATGTATTAGGGGGCGCATTCTTTTTATACCGCAAATGCGAATAGGATAAAACGCGATTGAGTGAACAGAACTACGTTTGAATAAGCGGTCGTAAGGCTGCCTCGGCGTCGCACAGCGCAAGGCGGGATGCTGCTGGATGCTTCTGGATGCTATCCACGCGCCTTGGTCTTGTCTGGCCTGCGTACGCACCGCACGTGTTATCCGCGGACTGTGCCTTCCCCCATTGTACTATTTATTCTCACGCGATTTCCCCATAAAGCGGCGTCCTTCAGGAAAGCAACTACCACCGTGTGGCAGGAGAACAAACGAAATAGAAAAAGTATTCTTGACACTTCATCGCACCAGCACCCATCTGTACCAAGCTGATCTAGAGGGGAGCCACACGCGTTAAGGACGAGTCGTTGGTACGCACCGCATTGGTGCCACGTGCGCTTGGGAACAGCAGCACATGTCGTCTGACGGAGCGAGCCTTGACCTCCGGTGGGTGTTGTGTGTTGTGTGCCACCTCGGCGAGTTGGCGTGGGATGAATGGAACAAGGAACTCGGGATGGTAACCATTTTTATTTGACCAGCTAAGAGCCCGCCGAGCTTTAGAGCTCCTTTTCAGAAGTGACCTGGCCACAAATGGACAGCGACACGAAGTGGCTTATCATCATCATCGTGTGGAAATGTACAGCGGACAAATACTCTGAACGCGTGGTGAAGTCGATTCTAAATGTGAAGGCGAAAAACCGGAGGACCCCGGAGGAAAAAAAATTAACGCAACCACGGGGAGAGAGAGACGCCACAAACTCCAAATACACAGCAGCAGGCGTCAGGGTCGGTATCTAACCCACGACCTCCTGCATACCAGGCGAGGTAGTTAACATCTCCTAGCCACCGCAGCGCCTGGATATACGAATCCCCCCCCCCCCCCGCAATGAGTAGCTGGAGTTCCATTGCCCCATTTAACTGGTTATGTAATGATCAACTATTTGAATCAGATGTTTACAGTCGCGATACATGCTTCGAATTGTGAGCAAGATGTTTTATTGTTATGATGATGAAATTCGATCTCCCGGTGCGGCAGTGGAAACAATGATGACAACACTATGGGGACCTCATTTGCCAGTAAAGATATGATAATTGGTTCTTTACCCTTCTATCTGGCAACAAAACTGACACCTTTTTCAGTTTTGTTGTCAGTTTTGTTGCCAGATAGAAGGGTAAAGAACCAATTATCAATGATGACAACGTTTTCTTAAAGCCACCTCCCAATTCTGCCTCTGCTCAGCCAGCAGTGGAGAAGGGTCCGACCGAGTCCATGGGCATGTCGCCCTGTGGCGGGGTGAAGTGTGGCTACTCTGGTCTCTCCCCAAGACATCCGGCCGGTATGCAAGAGTAGGCCAAATAACGTTGTCTAGAGCGGTGATAATCGTCGTCGTCAGCATCATCATCAATCCACGGCAGAAGATTGATGCTGCTGATGAATGCGGCTATGAGGTTGAACGCGGTGGCTCTTGAAGGAGCTGTTTCGTGGCCGTTATTAAGGAACCACCGCCGTCTCGTATTAAACCACGTGGCATTGGTGGCTCTTGAAGTGTTGAGTTTTTACCGAATTTCAGAGAGAGAAAAAAGGGTCACCTTGTTATTTTGGTTGCTGACCCCCCCCCCCCCCCCCGTTAGAGCGACACTTCAGGTGCTGATGAGTGCAGATGAAGATGAGGAAAGTGGCAAATTATTCAACCTCATCTGCACAATGGCGTAATGTAACCACCAATTCAATCCCATTCCACTCTGGATCCCACTCCACCCAGAACCACGCTCCAGTAAGAACCGATATATTTGTGTTTTCTGTGTTATTTCGTCATTTTTTGATACTGCCAAAAAGGTCCCACAGATATAACTGTTCGGCCCGAGCCAGACGTGTTGTGACACTGGCATTGTCCTTGTAGTGTTCGTCTTTTGGGGGCGTTGTTTTCTGGACTGACACCGCTGGTGAGTGAGACAAGGCTATAAAGAAGTCTGTCTCTGGTGTAAAGTCAATCGTCTTTCAAAGACAATGCAGCAATGAGGAGCAGAGTATGTTCGTTTGCATGCCACGAGTATGTGTGGTCAATGCAGACTTGGTGCCTTGAAATAGGCTTTTTGGCGTTTCCACTATTTGGTGTTTACACATGTGTAACACACGTGTTACACATGTGTAACACGTGTGTAACACGTGTTCATGGACTCCTCCTCTCACTACCGGGAGATGTCGCAGCTGTCTCGCGGAGTGAATTGCTTCGACAAATAACGTCAAAGCGCCGTCGTTGTCATCATCAGCAGCATCAGTTTCATCACCGGCAGTAGCATCTGCAGCATCAATGTCACCCCCTCCAGTTTACATCACCGCCAGCATCACGACCTCCATCACCATCGGCGTCACCAACAGCAGTCACGGCCCCTGGGTGGTGTTGTGAAGCCAGGTTATTGACGGATGGTTGACAGATAAGGGCTTCACCGATGGGGGAGGTGGGCGAGGCGAGGGGTGGAGTCACAACCACCTGCTCTCTCCTCCTCGTCTCCCGGGGTTCTATAAGAAGGCCCTGGATGAGGAGGTACTCGCCGACTTGAGACGAGACTCGGACAAGATGCTCGCCCTCATCGCCTCCGTGTTCCTCCTGGTGCAGGGTGGGTGTCACCATCACCGTCATCATCACCATCGTCATTATCACAGTTGTCATCGTCGTTGTCATTATCATCATCATAATCACGGTCGTCATCATCATCATCCGATTCACGGTGGTACAGCTCCTGTGCCTGGGTTCGTTTCCCCGACTTGCCCAGCCTTTCTGTGTGACATCTGTGTGTTGTGTGTGTGTTGTGTGTTTTGTGTGTGTTGTGTGTTCTGTGTGTGTGTTGTGTTCTGTGTGTGTTGTGTGTTCTGTGTGTGTTGTGTGTTCTGTGTGTGTTGTGTGTTCTGTGTGTGTGTTGTGTGTGTGTTCTGTGTGTGTGTTGTGTGTTCTGTGTGTGTGTGTTCTGTGTGTTCTGTGTGTGTGTTGTGTGCGTGTTCTGTGTGTTCTGTGTGTGTGTGTTCTGTGTGTTGTGTGTTCTGTGTGTGTGCGTGTTGTGTGTTCTGTGTGTGTACTGTGTGTGTTCTGTGTGTGTGTGTTCTGTGTGTGTTGTGTGTTCTCCCCCTGCTCTTTATGGATTTCCTTCGGGTTCTCCGGTTTTCCTCCAATAGCCCCCCCCCCATACAACATACCTGGCACTTTATTCGCCAAAACATCCCGGTGCTGAAAAGTTACCCGCGAATTACTCAGTTTGGGATTGTGCTGTGAGAGACACAAGAGCATTGACGCCCACTGAGGCACTCCAATACGTACGACCGTTGTCATAATCACCACGAGGATGCTCACAATCATCGAGCCTCCCCATGTCTCCACGTGTCTCTATCTCCGTGTCCCCCCCACTCTGTCCCATCGTCTCTCCTCCCCATGTCTCCTCCTCGTGTCTTCCTCTGTCCACAAAAGACGGCGGTGACCGCATCGCGAGGCGCTTTCAGATGCGCTTCCACGGCCGTCTGGAACGCTCTTCCTTCCGATATTAGCAAGCCACTGGAGCTATGCACTTTTACATCGTCTAGATTGACAAACTCATTTCTCTAGAGAACTGCTTTTTGTTTAGTTTGTTATCCTTCCCCCGCACCTACAATTCGCGCGGTTGGCTACGTACGGAGAGAAAGTAGTTCAACATACACAAGCCTTCCCTGTGTCTCCCCGTGTCTCCCCATGCGTCTCTCCATGTCTAACCGCCTCCCCCGCGTGTCTCCCCCATGTTGCCCCACGACTCCTCGTGTCTGCCCATGCGTCTCTCCATGTCTAACCGCGTCCCCCGCGTGTCTCCCCCATGTTGCCCCACGACTCCTCGTGTCTGCCCATGCGTCTCTCCATGTCTAACCGCGTCCCCCGCGTGTCTCCCCCATGTTGCCCCACGACTCCTCGTGTCTGCCCATGCGTCTCTCCATGTCTAACCGCGTCCCCCGCGTGTCTCCCCCATGTTGCCCCACGACTCCTCGTGTCTGCCCATGCGTCTCTCCATGTCTAACCGCCTCCCCTGCGTGTCTCCCCCATGTTGCCCCACGACTCCTCGTGTCTGCCCATGCGTCTCTCCATGTCTAACCGCGTCCCCCGCGTGTCTCCCCCATGTTGCCCCACGACTCCTCGTGTCTCCCCATGCGTCTCTCCATGTCTAACCGCGTCCCCCGCGTGTCTCTGCACAGCGACCGCTCAGGGCTGCGGGGTGCCCAGTTACCCCCCCATCGAGAGCCGCGTGGTCAATGGGGTGGAGGCGACGCCCAACAGCTGGCCCTGGCAGGTGCGTGCCTCGCTCCTGGCTCCCCTCACGGGGATTTTGCGCTCAATCCCAGGCCCCGCTCCACGTCACCCACCACCCCCCCGGGCAATCCCGGTCGCGGAAAACCAGATCACTCTCCAAGTTACCGCTGGAACCGCCTTTGGCCACGACTCGCTCCGCCCGCACGCCGGCGAGCGGTCGCTCTGCCCCGTGGCGTCTTGGGTTGGTGGCCCGTCGCGTCGGCGCAAGCGGTGGCGCTCGCCGATCCGAGCACCGTCCAGGCACCGTGAAACCTCTCGTTCGCCCTTCTCCATGAGATCGGGGTGGGGGGGGGGGGTAAGGGGCCGTCCATAAATGACGTCACGCACCTAGGGGAGGGGGGTCAGACAATTGTGACGATGTGTGACGAGGGGGGGGGGGGGGTTTGAGAAATGTGACGTCACATTAAAATGCGCAACTTTAAATAAATATAGACAACACGTTCTATTTAATTAAATAGACTTTTTAATAAATGTTTTCTCCTACAACATTAGAGTGCAGAGGCACATTAAATACGCACTACAATGACAATAGTTTAAAGCGATTTGAAGCACGTTTTATATATTTTGGGGGGGGGGGGCAAAGTTTTGTGACGTCATATTTGAGGGGGGGTCTGACTTTTTGTGACGCCGTGTAATGAAGGGGGGGAGGGGGGTCAAAAATCGTCCAAAATCGCGTGACGTCATTTATGGACGGCCCCTAATGGAGTGAAGCAATAGGGAGGGAGGATTTCTCCACAATTTAGGGTTGTCGCCTGGATATTGGTGGCGAAAGCCTGACTGCTACTACTACGATGTGTTCAACTGTAACAGAGAGTTGACACCTGTGTGTTATTATGATGGTGGTTTCGCTTGTTTACCCGGCAAAGCCTCAGCGAATCTCAAGACTCATCTTCAGGAGGGTCCTGCTAAGCAGAACTTGCTGTGGCTGCGGCTGCTGTTGTTGCTGCTTGTGTAGATTCCAATTTGAATGATTTGCCGAGGGTAATTTTTCTTACATTTAGCAAATTTGGGACCGTGACGCTGGCCCGCTACGTGATGGGAGTCACTGCATCTTTAATGTCGACCGCGAGCAATGCAGACGGCGCATACTAAGTAGAAGTCGTACCGCAGTTCACACAAAGACATGGGGGTATTAACCGGGGCGGCCGCTTGGAATTCGAATCGTGAACCTCCGCAACAGCAAGCGGCGACCACAGTCACCGCCAGGCCGTGCGGGCAGAGACAGCGGCCCCAGCAGAGACAGTGGCCCCAGCAGAGACAGTGGCCCCAACAGAGACAGCGGCCCCAGCAGAGACAGCGGCCCCAGCAGAGACAGCGGCCCCAGCAGAGACAGCGGCCCCAGCAGAGACAGCGGCCCCAGCAGAGACAGCGGCCCCAGCAGAGACAGCGGCCCCAGCAGAGACAGTGGCCCCAGCAGAGACGCGGCCCCAGCAGAGACAGCGGCCCCAGCAGAGACAGCGGCCCCAGCAGAGACAGCGGCCCCAGCAGAGACGCAGCCCCAGCAGAGACGCGGCCCCAGCAGAGACAGTGGCCCCAGCAGAGACAGCGGCCCCAGCAGAGACAGCGGCCCCAGCAGAGACGCGGCCCCAGCAGAGACGCGGCCCCAGCAGAGACAGTGGCCCCAGAAGAGACAGCGGCCCCAGCAGAGACAGTGGCCCCAGCAGAGACAGCGGTCCCAGCAGAGCCGCGGCCCCAGCAGAGACAGCGTCCCCAGCAGAGACAGCGGCCCCAGCAGAGACGGCGGCCCCAGCAGAGACGGCGGCCCCAACAGAGACGCGGCCCCAGCAGAGACAGTGGCCCCAGCAGAGACAGCGGCCCCAGCAGAGACAGTGGCCCCAGCAGAGACAGCGGCCCCAGCAGAGACGCGGCCCCAGCAGAGACAGCGGCCCCAGCAGAGACAGCGGCCCCAGCAGAGACAGTGGCCCCAGCAGAGACAGCGGCCCCAGCAGAGACAGCGGCCCCAGCAGAGACAGCGGCCCCAGCAGAGACAGCGGCCCCAGCAGAGACAGCGGCCCCAGCAGAGACAGCGGCCCCAGCAGAGACAGCGGCCCCAGCAGAGACAGTGGCCCCAGCAGAGACAGCGGCCCCAGCAGAGACAGCGGCCCCAGCAGAGACGCGGCCCCAGCAGAGACAGCGGCCCCAGCAGAGACAGCGGCCCCAGCAGAGACAGCGGCCCCAGCAGAGACGCAGCCCCAGCAGAGACGCGGCCCCAGCAGAGACAGTGGCCCCAGCAGAGACAGCAGCCCCAGCAGAGACAGCGGCCCCAGCAGAGACGCGGCCCCAGCAGAGACGCGGCCCCAGCAGAGACAGTGGCCCCAGAAGAGACAGCGGCCCCAGCAGAGACAGTGGCCCCAGCAGAGACAGCGGTCCCAGCAGAGCCGCGGCCCCAGCAGAGACAGCGGCCCCAGCAGAGACAGCGGCCCCAGCAGAGACGGCGGCCCCAGCAGAGACGGCGGCCCCAACAGAGACGCGGCCCCAGCAGAGACGCGGCCCCAGCAGAGACAGTGGCCCCAGCAGAGACAGCGGCCCCAGCAGAGACAGTGGCCCCAGCAGAGACAGCGGCCCCAGCAGAGACGCGGCCCCAGCAGAGACAGTGGCCCCAGCAGAGACAGTGGCCCCAGCAGAGACAGCGGCCCCAGCAGAGACAGTGGCCCCAGCAGAGACAGTGGCCCCAGCAGAGACGCGGCCCCAGCAGAGACAGTGGCCCCAGCAGAGACAGTGGCCCCAGCAGAGACAGAGGTCCCAGCAGAGACAGTGGCCCCAACAGAGACGCGGCCCCAGCAGAGACGCGGCCCCAGCAGAGACAGCGGCCCCAGCAGAGACAGTGGCCCCAGCAGAGACAGCGGCCCCAGCAGAGACGCGGCCCCAGCAGAGACAGTGGCCCCAGCAGAGACAGTGGCTCCAGCAGAGACAGCGGCCCCAGCAGAGACAGCGGCCCCAGCAGAGACAGTGGCCCCAACAGAGACGCGGCCCCAGCAGAGACAGTGGCCCCAGCAGAGACAGTGGCCCCAGCAGAGACAGCGGCCCCAGCAGAGACAGTGGCCCCAACAGAGACGCGGCCCCAGCAGAGACAGTGGCCCCAGCAGAGACAGCGGCCCCAGCAGAGACAGTGGCCCCAGCAGAGACGCGGCCCCAACAGAGACAGCGGCCCCAGCAGAGACAGTGGCCCCAGCAGAGACGCGGCCCCAGCAGAGACAGTGGCCCCAGCAGAGACAGTGGCCCCAACAGAGACAGCGGCCCCAGCAGAGACAGCGGCCCCAGCAGAGACAGCGGCCCCAGCAGAGACAGCGGCCCCAGCAGAGACAGCGGCCCCAGCAGAGACAGCGGCCCCAGCAGAGACAGCAGCCCCAGCAGAGACAGTGGCCCCAGCAGAGACAGTGGCCCCAACAGAGACAGCGGCCCCAGCAGAGACAGAGGCCCCAGCAGAGACGGCGGCCCCAGCAGAGACGGCGGCCCCAGCAGAGACGCGGCCCCAGCAGAGACAGCGGCCCCAGCAGAGACAGCGGCCCCAGCAGAGACAGTGGCCCCAGCAGAGACAGTGGCCCCAGCAGAGACAGTGGCCCCAACAGAGACGCGGCCCCAGCAGAGACAGCGGCCCCAACAGAGACGCGGCCCCAGCAGAGACAGCGGCCCCAGCAGAGACAGCGGCCCCAGCAGAGACAGTGGCCCCAGCAGAGACAGCGGCCCCAACAGAGACGCGGCCCCAGCAGAGACAGCGGCCCCAGCAAAGACAGCGGCCCCAGCAGAGACAGCGGCCCCAGCAGAGACAGTGGCCCCAGCAGAGACAGTGGCCCCAGCAGAGACAGTGGCCCCAACAGAGACGCGGCCCCAGCAGAGACAGCGGCCCCAACAGAGACGCGGCCCCAGCAGAGACAGCGGCCCCAGCAGAGACAGCGGCCCCAGCAGAGACAGCGGCCCCAGCAGAGACAGCGGCCCCAACAGAGACGCGGCCCCAGCAGAGACAGCGGCCCCAGCAGAGACAGCGGCCCCAGCAGAGACAGTGGCCCCAGCAGAGACAGCGGCCCCAACAGAGACGCGGCCCCAGCAGAGACAGCGGCCCCAGCAGAGACAGCGGCCCCAGCAGAGACAGCGGCCCCAGCAGAGACAGCGGCCCCAGCAGAGACAGTGGCCCCAGCAGAGACAGTGGCCCCAGCAGAGACAGTGGCCCCAACAGAGACGCGGCCCCAGCAGAGACAGTTGCCCCAACAGAGACGCGGCCCCAGCAGAGACAGCGGCCCCAGCAGAGACCCCAGCAGAGACAGCGGCCCCAGCAGAGACAGCGGCCCCAACAGAGACGCGGCCCCAGCAGAGACAGCGGCCCCAGCAGAGACAGCGGCCCCAACAGAGACGCGGCCCCAGCAGAGACAGCGGCCCCAGCAGAGACAGCGGCCCCAGCAGAGACAGTGGCCCCAACAGAGACGCGGCCCCAGCAGAGACAGCGGCCCCAACAGAGACGCGGCCCCAGCAGAGACAGCGGCCCCAGCAGAGACAGCGGCCCCAGCAGAGACAGCGGCCCCAGCAGAGACAGCGGCCCCAACAGAGACGCGGCCCCAGCAGAGACAGCGGCCCCAGCAGAGACAGCGGCCCCAGCAGAGACAGTGGCCCCAGCAGAGACAGCGGCCCCAACAGAGACGCGGCCCCAGCAGAGACAGCGGCCCCAGCAGAGACAGCGGCCCCAGCAGAGACAGCGGCCCCAGCAGAGACAGCGGCCCCAGCAGAGACAGTGGCCCCAGCAGAGACAGTGGCCCCAGCAGAGACAGTGGCCCCAACAGAGACGCGGCCCCAGCAGAGACAGTTGCCCCAACAGAGACGCGGCCCCAGCAGAGACAGCGGCCCCAGCAGAGACAGCGGCCCCAGCAGAGACAGTGGCCCCAGCAGAGACAGCGGCCCCAACAGAGACGCGGCCTTAGCAGAGACAGCGGCCCCAGCAGAGACAGCGGCCCCAACAGAGACGCGGCCCCAGCAGAGACAGCGGCCCCAGCAGAGACAGCGGCCCCAGCAGAGACAGTGGCCCCAGCAGAGACAGCGGCCCCAACAGAGACGCGGCCCCAGCAGAGACAGCGGCCCCAGCAGAGACGCGGCCCCAGCAGAGACAGTTGCCCCAACAGAGACGCGGCCCCAGCAGAGACAGCGGCCCCAGCAGAGACAGCGGCCCCAGCAGAGACAGCGGCCCCAGCAGAGACAGCGGCCCCAGCAGAGACAGTGGCCCCAACAGAGACAGCGGCCCCAGCAGAGACAGCGGCCCCAGCAGAGACGCGGCCCCAGCAGAGACAGTTGCCCCAACAGAGACAGCGGCCCCAGCAGAGACAGCGGCCCCAGCAGAGACAGCGGCCCCAACAGAGACAGCGGCCCCAGCAGAGACAGCGGCCCCAGCAGAGACAGCGGCCCCAACAGAGACAGCGGCCCCAGCAGAGACAGCGGCCCCAGCAGAGACAGCGGCCCCAGCAGAGACAGCGGCCCCAGCAGAGACAGCGGCCCCAGCAGAGACGCGGCCCCAGCTGCTCAGGGGCAGGAAGACTGCGTCGCGAGAATCGTGCCGAGAGTAACCGCCACCATTCTCGTGTTGAGGTGGCGCTTGTGTTGGTGGCTGTGGTCGTTGTTGTTGTTGTTGTGGTTGATGAGATTACGGTTGTAGTGGTTGATGTGGACGTGGTTGATGTGGTTGTGGTGGTTGTGGTGGTTGTGGTGGTTGTGTTTTGTTGGTGTACTTTGATGAGATTACGGTTATTGCGGTTGATGTGGACATGGTTGATGTAGTTGTTTTGGTTGTGGTGGTTGATGTAGTTGTGGTGGTTGTGGTTGATGTGGTTGTTGTGATTGATGTGGTTGTGGTGGTTGTGGCTGCTGTGGCTGCTGTAGATCTCCCTGCAGTACCTGTCTAGGCGGGTCCTGGTACCACACGTGCGGCGGGACCCTGATCGACCCCCAGTGGGTGCTCACGGCGGCCCACTGCATCTCGTGAGTTCTACCTCATCACAACCTCATCATCACCACCTCATCATCATCACCACCTCATCATCATCACCACCTCATCATCATCACCACCACCACCACCTCATCATCATCATCACCACATCATCATTTTAACACGTAGGCTTTCGCGACCAATGTTATTCATAATCAACGTTTTTGGGTTTAGTTTGCGTTATTTATAAATGTGTCGTAACCCTCCACCACCCGACACGGCCAATCAGTAAAAAAGTGTCACGTTGACAAAAGACAAATAGTTCACTGCTTTAGCCCACCGGTGTGTTGAAGCCACAACATTTACAATTTCATCATCACCACCACCACATCATCATCATCACCACATCACCACCACCACCACATCATCATCTTCACCACCACCTCATCATCACCACCACCACCTCATCATCATCACCACCACCACCACCACCACCACCTCATCATCACCACCACCACCTCATCATCATCATCACCACCACATCATCATCATCATCTCCACCACCACATCATCATCATCATCATCACCACATCATCATCATCATCATCACCACATCATCGTCATCACCACCACCACCTCATCATCATCACCACCTCATCATAATCATCACCACCTCATCATCCTCATCACCACCACCAACATCTATAGCAGCAGCATCTCATCATCATGAGCAGCAGCATTTACATCTTATCTCATCAACATCAGCAGCATCATTTGCATCTCAGCTCATCAACATCAGGGTGACCATCATCTCACCAACAAGAGCAGCGTCTGCGTTGATGCAGCCTTCAAAATGAGTAGCTGGTGCGGGTGCAATCATCGCCACCGGGGAGACAAAGGCGGCCGGGCAGGCGTGGCACTGGCCACCCTACCCCCTCGTCATCGGTGTGCCATGCCACGGTCTGCATTAGAGGTGCCACACGCTGACAGCACTTGCCCCAACGTATCTGTTGAAGGCTACCCAGGTGGCCTTTGCCTCTGCGTGTGCGTGTGACAGCGGTCGTGCAGCGTGGCCTTAACGTGCACCTCGCCTGGCACAAGCGCCGTGATGACGTCACCGCTACTTAGTGGTGGTTAGCGCGCCGCGCTACGAACCCGGCCGCCAGAGTTCGATTCCCGCTCACGGCCAACACCGGTGACGAACTGAACCTGTCCCGGGCCTCCCCTAGGTCGACTCGACCTCAAATGAGTAAACATCGTCGCCGGAAAGACAAAGGCGGTCGGGCGCGGTGCTGGCCACCCACCCCCCCTCATAAGCGCTGTTAGCGAGTACTCGTCCCGACAGTCCGTTAAGTGGTCGTCCATAAATGACGTCACGCACCTTGGGGGGGGGGTCAGACATTTGTGACGATGTGTGACGAGGAGGGGGGGGGAGGTTTGAGAAATGTGACGTCACATCAAAATGTGCAACTTTAAATAAATATAGACAACACATTCTACTTAATTAAATATACTTTTTAAATAACTGTTTTCTCCTACAACATCAGAGTGCAGCGCCACATTAAATACGCAATACAATGGCAATAGTTTAAAGCGATTTGAAGCATGTTTTATTTGGGGGGGGGGGGGGCAGAGCTTTGTGACGTCATATTTTAGGGGGGGGTCTGACTTTTTGTGACGTCGTGTGACGAGGGGGGGGGGGGTAAAAAAATCGTCCAAAATCGCGTGACGTCATTTATGGACGGCCCTAAGGCTACCCGGGTGACCTTCGTCTGTGTGTCCCGTGTGCGGCAGCTCGCGCACGTACCGCGTGGCGCTGGGCAAGCACCTGCTGAGCGTGGCCGAGGGCGGCGAGGTGCAGGTGGAGGTGGCGGCCATCCTCGTGCACAGCGGCTGGAACGGGAACAACGTGCAGGGCGGGTGAGTCGCAGAACTCGCTATTTCACTATCACTCACTCGATCGCTCACTAACACGCTAGCCCGCGCAGCGACTCGCTCACTAACTCGCTCGCTCACTCATTGACTCGCTCACTCACTAACTCGATCGCTCACGCACTCTCTCGCTCGTTTACTTATTCATTTGTTCTGCTTTTCACTCGCTCACTCCCTGACGCCTGTAAAGGAGTCTCGTCGGGGCTTAGGTGACACTTTCCTGGCTGATCAAGTGGATGAATAATTATCATATAAATTAATCGAACATTCAGCCTCGTGTCAGACGGTCCGGAGCATGGAACCTTGGGAAGGCGCAACATGACCTCGTGCGCAGGCTGTGGGAGGGGGCGATGTCTTGGGGGAGGCCTTCGTCCAGCAGTGGATTGAGCATGGTCGACGACTGCGTCTCGCACGCAGGAATGACATCGCGCTGATCCGTCTGGCACAGCCCGTGGCCCTGAGTGACAAGATCCAGGCGGCCTGCCTGCCCCCCGCGGGCCTGGTGCTGCCCCACGACTACCCCTGCTACATCACGGGCTGGGGACGTCTCGTCAGTGAGGAGACGCGCTCGCTCACCCAACCGATCGCTCACCAAATCGTTCACTAAATCAAAACAGCCACCCACTCACACAATCACCCAATCACTCACTCACCCACGGGGTCACTCACTTAACTCGCTCACACACTCACCCACCAAATCTCGCACTTAACCATTCACTCACCCAGCCACATACCCACCGAATCACTCAGTTAGCCATTCACTCACCCAGCCACACGTTCACCCACAAAATCACTCACTTAGCCATTCACTCGCCCACCCACCCACTTCCCCAACACAACCACACTATAACACCGTCTCGGTCTCCGTCTCCCTAGCTCTGCCACACCACCACCACCATCATCATCATCATCTCACCTGTGTCCGCCCTTCTCCCCGCTCCTCTCTCTGTCTCCCTCTCGCTGCGTCCGTTGTAGCCGGGGGGGACCTGCCGGACGCGCTACAGCAGGCGAACCTGCCCGTGGTGGACTACGAGACCTGCAGCAAGCCCTCGTGGTGGTGGTTCAACATCCGCGAAACGATGATCTGCGCCGGCGGGGATGGCTACGACTCTGGCTGCAACGTACGGGGACGCACAGCGCTGTCACTTGCACGTGTGTGCGTGTGTGTGTGTGCACGTGTGTGCGCGTGTGTGCGCGTGTGTGCGTGTGTGCGCGCGCGTGTGTGTGTGTGCGTGTGCGTGTGTGTGCGTGTGTGTGTGTGCGTGTGTGCGCGTGTGTGTGCGAGTGCGTATGTGCGCGTGTGCCTGTGTGTGTGCGTGTGTGTGTGAGTGCGTGCGTATGCGTGTGTGCCTATGTGTGTGCGTGTGTGTGTGTATTTGTGGGGAGCGGTGGTCAGGGTTGCGATTTCCGCACCATATTCCGCAAACATGCTGTTTTCGACCGCATTTTGCGGTAGTTTCTGTGACCCTCTTCCGCACAAATTTCCGCAATTTGCGGTGATTCCTGTGAAGACTTCCGCAAATCGTGACTTCGATTCCCGCCTTTCTCGGTGCCGTACTCGCGCGGTTGGCGCACATATCTTGCGTATGCCCATTTGGCTCTGCTGACTTCTGGAAAAAACGATATGTATATATGAACTATGGATTCCTGCATTCAGACAGCGTTGTTGGTGCGCACGAACTGTGAAAAAATCAATGAGAGCCGCGAGCTCTTGTGCGTCGAAGTACTTGTCGATGCCGTCGATGAAGCATACTTGCCACAAGTACACGACGCCACCGTTGACATGTTTGTCGCCGATAGGAATTCCTACGGTTGCATCTTTCCGGATCGACGCAACCCCCGGCGCTGTGCTCAGGCCCTTTTGCCCAGCCCCATGATGTCTCCTAGCGTCTGCCATTCGGAGCCCTCGCAGTACTCGTAGCGACAAAGGAAAAACAAAAAAACTGTAGCATTTTCTTTATTCATATTCTGTCGATATGCAAAACTATTCATCGTCGCTCAGATTGCAGCGCGTTGGGAAATCCACTGGTAATTTTGGCCAAGCGCTCAGATACCCACGCTGTTTTCGATACGCTCAGATACACACGCGTTTCCGCTCAGGTAATATCCTTGTCCAGCGTACGCTCATTTGCCTCTGTCGTAGCTACTTTATACCTCCTGCGAATATATACACTTTACTGCTAACGATTAAAACTTTGGCGCACAGGTCGGTCGGCTGTGAGAGGGCTTTCTCTCTGCAAAACAACATCAAGCCCGAGGAGTGGTTGCTCCTCTCGTGCAAGCAGTTGAACGCGCTTATAGTTTGCGCCCGCGACAAGCCAAAACTCAGCATCTTTCACGCCGAAGACGACATGAAGCGCTGGAAGAATGCGAAGAAGTGAAAGTACATGTGCTCGTAGTCACGGCTCCGCATTTGAATAAAGTATGTGGTTCTTGTGCGGAAATGCGGAAATCATATATTCATTCCAATCAGTAACTCAAAGCCCTACGTGATGCTGGGCCTTGCATGTATCCTTTCCAATAGAACGCATTAACGTGTTGTTAAAAGCGCGCGGTCATAGGAGTAGTCTTTCCACCGTTTGCGGTTGACTTTAGCAAAAATGCGGGAAAATTTGAACCCTCCTTCCGCATTTTCCATGCGGAAATCGCAACCCTGGCGGTGGTGTAGCGGTCAGCACACTGCGCTACGAACCCGGCGACCCGGGTTAGATTCCCGCTCACGGCCATCACCGGTGACGATTGTCTGAACCTGTACTGGGCCTCCCCTAGATCGACTCAGCCTCAAATGGGTACCTGGTGCGGTGTGTAAAACATCGCCACTGGGGAGACAAAGGCGGCCGGGTTTGGTATTGGCCCATTCACCCCCTCGTGTGTCGCAATTGCCGAAGAACCACAAACGAGCTGAAAAAGGCACCAGCCAGGCGGTGAAGCGGTGCTACCAGCAAGTGCCCGAGCTCTGCAGTCCTCTCTCAATATCAAAGATGTTAGCAAGTTTTTTTTGTTAAAGAGCACCCGGAGAAAACCGCATTTACACTTTGACTCTGCACCACACCCACCCACCCACCCACCCACCCCTCCCCCATTCTCTCCACTGCCCCCCCCCGACCCACCGCAGGGCGACTCTGGGGGCCCCCTGAACTGCGTGAGTGAAGACGGCTCGTGGGCCGTTCACGGCATCGTGAGCTTTGGCTCGGGCCTGGGCTGCAACTCCATCTACAAGCCCACCGTGTTCACCCGCGTGTCCGCCTTCGTCGACTGGATCGCCGACGTGAGCGATCCTCCTGCTTCTCTCCCCCACCTGCCCACCGCCCCCCCCCCTCCCCATCAGTTCTATCCGATCACATTCTCTGCATAGCTGAACTTAATCGCAGCGTAACAGCGATAATGGGATGTTGTTGTTGTGCATATGCTCACAGCCAACATCAGTGACGATTATCCGAATCCGTCCTGGGCCTCCCCTAGGTGGACTCAGCCTCAAATGAGTACCTGGTGTGGTGTGCAAACATTGCCACTAGGGAAACAAAGGTGGCCAGGAGTGGCGCTAGCCACCCACCCACCCCCTCGTGTGGCGTGCTAGGCTTCATAGGTGCTTGGTAACAGCACTTTTCCCAACAGTCTATTAAGACCATACGGGGATATTTTTGTCTTCGTCTAATCCCAATTGAGTGAACTCCGATGCCATTTTCCAATTTCGCCAAATTAGCGCTGTGACGTTGGTCGTTTTGAATTGTGGTCAGTGGATATTTAATGATAAAGAAGACGATTCATTATTTTGAGATAATACCCAGCATTCACCGGGGCAGCTTCCAGGATTCGAACCTTGAACCTCAAGTGGCAAATCACGCCACCGCGAGGCCGGGTCACCGCCCGGCCCATTGTAAACGCGAGAGGATGACAACCGAGAAAACGTGTGCAGTAGCATCTCATTCGGTAGAGTGGTTCAAATCGCGCCTTTGATGAGCTATGGTTGGCTACGTACGGTGGGAAAGAAGATCGTACGTACATACGTACAATTCTGGCAGGCCGCCCTTGTGATTACAAACACGATTCCGCACCGACTGCTCCACTCACAGCAATGGACGTCACTGAAGATCCCGCGATGTCGTACGTAACAAGTCCCGTCCTCTGCTCGGTGCCTCGATCTAAATTAAAAATTTTAAACATTGCAGATTACTCGATTGGGATCATGCGTAGCAGCAGCAGCAACATCGCCCCCCCTCCCCTCCTGAAACACAGCGGCGCCTTCCTTCGCCCCACGCGCCGCTGTTAAGAGCCATCGCACCGACGCCTCGCGTACTCAGTAATTCCGCACGTAACTGTGAATAATTATTACCGTGCCCTTCCCCCCACCCCCCTTCCCCGCCGCACCCTCGCAGGTGTTGGACACGTACACGGTGCGTGCCGACGACGACTCGCAGGTGATCATGTTCCACTGAGGCACCGCGGGGGGGTCAGGAGGTTATCGCGGCCAATGTTCACGACGACGACGATTCCGAAGCACCTCGCTCATCCTTTCCTCCGTCCCTCCTGCCTGCTGCCGTCGATCCGACACCAGGAGGTGTCCGGGGGAGTCGGCTGCCGTCAAGGAGCTGAGAAATTCTAGCCGGGGGTGCTCGTGAGCAAACGTCGTGACAACGTCGCGTCAGTAGCGGATCGATTAAAAGTTGAGCCAAGAAAGCAGAGTCGCGCTTTGCTCCTCTCTGTGTGTGTCCTTGCTGGCTTTCGTTTTCGTTAAAGTGTGATGCATGTGCCGTACAGCAGCCAGCTGTGCCAATCGTAGGTGGGCGAAACGAAATCCATTTTCTCCCGTGGAACCAAAAACAGTGAACTCAAAAACCATAAAAACCCAACAGAATGTACACGTATCATGTGCATATATAACGTACATACATTAATAATGTATATCCATAATGTACATACATGTTGCTTAACTGTGAATAACCCAACCACAAATCGATATCAATTTTAATTTACATGAATACATTAACCCTCCCCCCCGGGCTCACATTTACCCTCAGTCTATTTAAGACTGAAACAGGAGGGAGGATTTCTCCACAACTCTGGCTGTCGCCTAAAATTGCCCATAGACTTACATTGCCTAAAGACTAACATTGCCCATAGACTTACATTACCCATAGACTCACATTACCCATAGACTCACATTACCCATAGACTAACATTGCCCATAGACTGACATTATCCATATACTCACATTGCCCATAAACTAACATTGCTCAAAGACTAACATTGCCCATTAACACACATTATCCATAAACTCACATTGCACATAAACTCAAATTGCCCATACACTAACATTGCCCATAGACTAACATTGCCCATAGACTCACATTGCCCATACACTTACATTGCCTATAGACTAACATTATCCATAGACTCACATTGCCCATAGACTGACATTGCCCATAGACTGACATTGCCCATAGACTAACATTATCCATAGACTCACATTACCCATAGACTGACATTGCCCATAGACTGACATTGCCCATAGACTAACATTATCCATAGACTCACATTGCCCATAGACTCACATTGCCCATAGACTGACATTGCCCATAGACTGACATTGCCCATAGACTAACATTATCCATAGACTCATATTGCCCATAAACTCACATTGCCCATAGACTAACATTGCAAATAGACTAACATTGCACGTAGACTAACATTGCGCATAGACTGACATTGCCCTTAGACTTCCATTACCCATAGACCTACATTGCCCATATATCAACATTGCCAATAGACTCACATTACCCATCGACTCACATTAACCATACACTAACATTGCCCATAGACGAACATTGTCCATAGACTCACATTACCCATACACTAACATTGCACCATAGACTAACATTGCCCATAGACTAACATTGCCCATAGACTAACACTCCCCATAGACTAACACTGCCCATACACTAACATTGCCCATAGACTAACACTGCCCATAGACTAACACTGCCCACACACTAACATTGCCCATAGACTAACACTGCCCATACACTAACATTGCCCATAGACTAACATTGTCCATAGACTAACATTGCCCATACACTAACACTGCCCATAGACTAACACTGCCCATACACTAACATTGCCCATAGACTAACATTGCCCATAGACTAACATTGCCCATAGACTAACATTGCCCATAGACTAACATTGCCCATAGACTAACATTGCCCATAGACTAACATTGCCCATAGACTAACATTGCCCATAGACTAACATTGCCCATAGACTAACATTGCCCATAGACTAACATTGCCCATAGACCAGTGGTTCTCGGGTTGCATGGCCACAATCGCACTCCTATGGATCGCGTCTTTTATTTACCATTTAAAACTCGATTATCTGAGCTCATCAAATATAAATTAGACTATGAACGTGTACTCTATGTGCTAGTTACGTGTAGAATGGGAAAATAAACAGTACAATGATGTACTCGGTTTCAATGCCGACAGGTCTGCGGTCATGGTGGCTCAGAGTCGCCGACCCTCGACGAGTGATCATCATCATGTGCGTGCCCCTCGGGGCGTACCAGTCCCCACTGGCTACCACCAGGCAATCGTATCTTGCGCTAGCCGCCACGCTGAGTGCAAGCCAAGGCCGTGGTATCGAAGATCGGCCTCGATCGTGCGTGTCTATGTCAGCTGTGGTCTTCGGTACCGCGGTGGTCCCTCGACGATCGCGCGCAGGGCTCCGGCGTGATCTGTCGATGCGTCTGCCCGGGCAACGCGTCCTAAAAGCCTCAAGTCTTCTGGCTCTGTTTCATGCGTTGCCGGGCATCCCGTGCTAAGGCGCACCACGGCATTGACCATGTGTTCACTGAAGTAGATGCGGAGTAGCCGTCATCGGCACCACTGGTCGAAGGCATCCAGCTAACAGTAGTATGGGAAGGATGTACGCAAGGTATAGGCGAATCTTTGTTGCTGGAGCACCAGATGTATCTGTCGAGCTATTTCATGCATCTCGTGTGCCATTGAGATTCGCCTTTTAATTTATACATCGCTGCTTCCAGTGTGTTGCATAGTGCAGCCGCTGCTCATCATTGGTCTATTTTAGCCCAATTTATTTCCAGGCCAAATGGGAAGGCTTCACTATGCATGACCTCCAGGGCTCGGAGTAAAACTTCAAGCATTTCAGTTAGCAAGGCAACGTCGTCTGTATAGTCCAGGTCGGTGAACACCTAATTGCCGAGGGTTACTCCCAGCAGGCCTTTGTGGACCGTGCAGTGGGACAAGTAGAACGTTCGGGGCAATGTTTGCAGCCTTGCCTTCCTCCACTTTGGATGCTGAACCACTCGGACAACTCTTCGTCTACACGAATGCAACTAATTATATCTTCATCAGATTCACGATCTTCTGTGGTAATCCAATGCCAAAAAGCTTTGCGGTCGACAGAGTCGAAAGCAGCCTTGAGGTCGACATAGACACTTCTAAAAGTTTATTTTTGATTCTTGCCGGCAAAATTGTGGCAGGGCAGGAGAGTAGAGTGATGGCACGATAGTTCTTCCACTAATGTCTACTCAGTTTACTCTTGTAAAAAGGCAGGATGATGCCTTTCTTCCATTCTGCTGGTCCCGAGCATATCCTCGATGTGTGCTGGAAGATCCTTATTGGCCATTTGATGACAACTGGGCCTCCGAGAGGTTGCAAATTCCAGGTGCCCTGCTATTTTTCATTTTTCTGAGAGCAGCCATCACTTCTTCTTCCTAAGACGGCGCAGAGCAAGAGATATTGGGATATTCGTAGTTGTTGCTGCAGCGGCCTGCAAAAGTTATTCAGAGGGGGAAGATCAGTGTGATTCAGCAGCTTAGAGTATAATTATTTCCAGTGTGCTGGTTTCTGCCTCCTATTATTGACCAGGAGGCCGCTGCAGTCCATGATCGGGCAGGAAACTGCGAAATTAGTTCCCCGGAGCTGCCTGAAGTTTGCAAAGGTATCCTTGAGTTGACCCTTAGCAGTTCTTGCTCCGCTGCTGCAGATTTCTCCTCTGCCCACCTCTGACGGTCACCCTGAGTCTGGTTCTTGCATTACCTGCGTTGTTGTTTCTTATCAATTAGGCTCCGTGTCTCGTCACTGATCCACTCTTTTTTGATATTGTTATGAGTTCCAAGGCAGGTATTGGCCACGTCGTTGATAAATGGTTCCAATCTGTCAGCTTTTCGTTGGGTAAGGGGGAAAATAGGTTGTTAATATCGACCGTGAATTGTTGTTCGAACGCCAGGTCTGAGAGTTTTTGTTGTATTGGGGAGATTTTTTGCTGGGGAATCGTTTGAGTCTGATACAGATGGTTGCAATAGCTGGCGATGATCTGTGTCGACTCCAAACTCCGGTAAACTCTGCAATTTTACAGAGCTTTCCATCTGGAGTTAATGAGTCAATATCTTTTTCTGTGTGGTCGTCGTTTGAAAACCAGGTAGGTCTGTAAATGGCATAGCGCTGGAACCAGGAGCCACATATTCTAAGCCCATTTCCCGTGCAAATATGTAGTAGCCTTTTAAAGTTGTCATTGGGGGTTCCGCTGCCATGTGGGCCGATCACAGTTTGGAGGCCTCTAGAAGTGCCAAAGATTGCATTCAAATCTCCGAGGCATATACTGAGGTCCGTTCGTTTTGTGAGGTTTAGTGACTGTTCCAGAGACTGATAGAAGTGGCCTTTGATGTTGTCGAGTGCTTCGGAGAGCCACCAGGAGGCTCCGACCACAGGATGGTGTAGTTTCCTCCAGTGGTTCACCAGCACCACGCATGGAGGCCCATTATACTGATTCGTACTCTCTCAAGTTCTTTTAACGAGTGTGTGAATTGCACCTGTTTGCCCGAGGGTTCTGATGATCCAGGTGCTGATGTGAGATCGTTTGCATAGTTTGAGGTTTTTGGTCATGTCCACCATAGCACACTTGTCACAGCTGGCTGGTGAAAGCCAGGCTGCGAGCTGCATGTTAACCTGCGCGACGAGTGATGCGGTATAACGACGTACTTGGTAGTGTTACTCATAGGGTATTCTTGCCAGTTATGTTCCCCTGGTCTCTTGCCGGGAGGCCTGGGTAGGTAGCTGGGAGACTCGATGTTCGGTACCCTTGAGCCGGCTACCCAGCTGCTACTTTAACCTCAGAGCCAAGGGAGCTGTTGCTGAGCTTCGGGACATGTCCAAATGCCGGTGGGACCAGCACACTGCAGCTATGGGGCAGGCATCTGCTCCCTGACCAGTTATACCGCCGGACGTTCGGTCACATGTACAGACTCGGTGATGAACAGGGGGACCACGAGATGGTGCCTGTACACACATCTGGCAGCGAGAGGCTATAACGAGAAGCATCACTGCCCCCCCCCCACCCTCGACAAGTGAGGAGCAGCTAAATAACTAAACGAACATGTATTTGTGGTTGCGGTTCTTAAGCGTGATGATGTATCATTATTACTGGAGACAAAGGCAAAAACTCACCCAGAATGTTTACTTAGACCAGAGAAATCCGACTAGCTATGAAGCTCTTTTTCACTGGTATCCAGTATGGGCACAGGGTCAGCAAGTTACCCACCTCCTCGTGTACTGTACTTGACCTCGTGTGCTGGGCCGGCCTTCACAGGTGCTATTCGCTAACAGCACTTGCCCCGACTGTCTGTTATGGCTAAATAGGGGGCGGGGTTGATCCTTG